TGGTCCTCTGGGAGGAATCTGCTGCAGCCTCAAAAATCTAGGCTTGTGACAACCTCCCAGAGGGCTTTTTCTGTTTTTGCCCCCAAGCTCTGGAACGGCCTGCCAGACGAGATCCGTAAATTAACATCTTTGGACAGCTTTAAAAAGGCTGTCAAGATGGATCCCTTTCGGCAGGCCTTTCCAGACTAAATCACACGGCCTCGGGATCTTGGGCCTTCCCCCCTCTTTTTTAGGAAAATTTATATCCCCCGCTAGAACTTGAAATCGCAGGGGTCTGTTGGTTTATATTTATTAGTATTTTTTATCTTAATTTTGTTGTGTTTTAATTGTAGATCATTTTAATTGTGATGGATTTAATAATCTTTTAAAGGGGGAGGAGGGAATTGTACTATTTTAATCTGTATGTATTTTATACTTGTACACCACCTGGATTGGCTTGCCACAGGGCAGTATAGAAATAAAATTTATTATTATTATTATTATTATTATTATTATTATTATTATTATTATTACAGCATCTTTTCAAATTCAGTCAAATTTCTCCCAAGAACCCACCTTTTCCAAGATGTCTTTAGAGGAAGAAGTACATCCCGTTAGAAGAACTACAAACTTTGATAAATGTTAACTTTTACTCCTTTTTGGTACAATGTAGAATTCACACTACAGTCCCAATCCAGATCAGAATCGCTGTCCACATAATCTGGTTTTTATTTCAGTACCTTCCCTCCCTCTCCCTATGCCATAGCCATGTGGCAGAGGCAAATTTGAAATAAAAAACAGTTTATGGGTAAAGGCTTAAACCTTCTGTTGTTGTGTGCCTTTAAGTCACTTCTGATTTACAGTGACCCTAAGGCAAATTATCATCAGAATTTCTTGACAAGATTTCTTCAGAGGAGATTTGCCATTGCCTTCCCCTGAGGCTGAGAGCATGTGACTTGCCCAAGTTCACTCACTGAGTTTCATAGCCAAGTAGGGAATTGAACCCTGGTCCCCAGAGTCATAGTCTAACACTCAAACTACTGCACCACACTGGCTTTCTACAACAACACAAAATAGTCCCAATCAAAATTGGGGGCACATACTTTGGGATGGTTATCCAAAAAGTGGGGGTTTGGGATCCCTGCCAGTACTGTCAGCATCTCCTTTGAACACTGGGGGGGGGTTAATTAGCTCAAAAGGAGGTATGTGAAAGGTGGGTAACTTACTAGGATCTTTTATACCTGTTTCTACCAGTACTCACTACAAAAGAACTTCAGTTTGAAGAAAATATGTGTAAAGAAAATCTGATGTTGTTTGACCACATATGGGGTGGTTAAAAGGCATGTGATTTGGAATAGCGCTGATGGAAGTCTCAAGGTTTCAGAAAGATGGGTTTTTTTATGCTACATCTCCAGATATAAAGAGGAAGAGATAACACTAGCATCCATGACCTAGCTGATTTATTTTTTAATCTTATTGTGCAGATACCAGAAGAGATTAATACTGGGGGAAAACATTGATTGTCCAGAACTGATGAAAGCTGAACCAAATTTTGTAACAAGATTACAGACACCATGGTGACAATTCGAATTCTGCCTTGTTTGCTAGCTGTATGGCTGCTCCAATTGACTCCAACACAAGGTGAAGGCAGTAAATAACCACCCAGCCATTTGGTATTATGCATCTTGATTATAGTTCGATGGGGAAAAGCATGTGCTGTGCTACCGCAGAGGGCAAAATATCTAGGGTCAGCCCTGCGCCGACCTATAAATCCAAATGGCTCTCACTCACTCTAGGGATGCTAGCAGTTTCACTCTTTGGGCTCATTCCCATACAAAATAATCTTGTGTGGAAACCGGGTTATTTTGTGATTGAATCTCTCCAGGGCCATTTACTCCCCTTTGACATTTGAGGGGCAGAGAAGAAGAATGGCTGCATGGAAGAGGAGGAGTAGGACAAGGAAAGAAAAGGCAAACTCCTTCTGAACAAACCTTGCCTAGAAAACCCCACGACAGACTTGAAGGCACAGAACAACAACAATAATAGAAGAGGGGTGGTGGCATGGCAGGAAGGCTTGTATGAGGAAGAGTATGGGCTTATGGAGCAGTCCTTCCATTCCTCCTCCTCCTCCTCCTCCTCCTCCTCCACCACCACCACCTCCTTTTCTTCCATCAAGGAGCCCTCAGCAACCCTCAGAAGGAGCAGCAGCAGCAGCAGCAGCAGTGGCCTCCTCCTCTTCCTCCTCTGGGTCTTGCCCAGGGTCACCCAGTGAGTTTCCATAGCCAAGCTGGGAAAGGCAGACAAAGGAAGAGAAGGTGAAGCTATGCTCCAAGGACTCTGGTGAGGCTCCCAGCTTGCCTTGGCTCTAAGAAAGCCTCTCATCTCCCTCCTTGCCAAAGGGAGGAAGGCAGGAAGGAGTACCTTGCCTTGGCTGAACCCAAAAGAGCACCAGAGCACCGAGGCTGGCTGAGAGAAGCTGGCAAGAGCCAGCACAGCACCCCAATGCAAATCCAACCTGTCGTTCCCACTTGTTGAACACAGTTTGGATTTGGGTCTTTTCAAAAAAACCACCCAAAAACTAGTGTCAGGAAAGAGCAGTTCTTTTGCATTTTGTCTCGCTTTATCATGATTTAAACCAAACACAGTAGGATTGGAATCGGTTTCAAGTGCTAACGATGGTCAAATTACCCCATCAGCAATTCGGGTTAAATCCTAGTGGGAACGAGGCCTTCCTTAACATGTCCTAGGACAGGGGTAGGCAACCTTTCCCCTTTAAGGGCCGAGGGACTTCAGCTCCCAGAAGCCTCAGCCATGTTGGCCAATAGTCCCATGTTGGCCAATAGCTCCTGGGATTCTGGGAGGTGAAGTCCCTTGGCCCTTAAAGGGGAAAGGTTGCCTACCCCTGTCTAGGATAATGCCACAACACTGAAAGTGGGTTCCAGAGCTAAAGTCCCAATCAGTCCAGACTAAGCCCTGAGAATTTGGCTATGGTGAATATACTTATTTCACATTTGTCAAAAATGTCAGTTTCTCAAGACACTGAGAACAAATCAACAACATTGGAATAATAATCCCTCATGATTCTTTTTGTTGCTGCTAGCTGCCTTCGCGTTGATCTTGACCCATGGCGACTCTGTGGATGAGACATCTCCAGGCCCCCTTGTCCTCTAGTGCTCTGCCCAGCTCCTGCAAACTCATATTCGTGGTCTCTTTAACAAAATCCATCCATCTAACATGTGGCCTTCCTCTCTTTCTACTTCCCTCCACCTTTCCTAACATTATTGCCTTTTCCAATAATTCTTGCCTTCTCATGATGTGTCCAAAATATGACAATCTAATATGCTTGTATAATTCTGACTTTTGTGCTGAGTTGTATGTCTTTGCATTTTAGGATCTTTTCTAGTTCTTCCATAACCACGCTCCCCATTCTTAATCTTCTCCTGATTTCCTGGCTGCAGTCCCCATTCCAATCAATGTTTGATCCCAGATATGAGAACTCTTCTACTATTTCTATCTCCTCATTGTCTACTTTGAATGTGTGTAAGTTCTCTGTGGTCACTATTTTTGTTTTCTTTATGTTCATCAGTAAGCCTGCCTTTGCACTTTCTTCTTTGATCTTCCTTAGTAGTTGTTCCAGGTCTATGAGGGTCTCGGCTAGTATTATGGTGTCGTCAGCATATCTTAGATTGTTGATGTTCCTTCCTCCTATTTTCACTCCTCCCTCTCCCATGTCCAAGCCTGCTTTCCTTACAATATGCTCTGCATATAAGTTGAATAGGTAGGGTGATAGGATGAAGCCTTGTCTGTCTCCTTTGCCAATTGGGAACCATTCTGTTTCCCCATGTTCTGTCCTGACAGTAGCCTCTTATCCTGAGTACAGATTCCTCATCAGGACTATCAGGTGAGTTGGCACTCTCATGTCTTTAAGGGCATTCCATAGCCTTTTGTGATGTATACAGTCAAAGGCTTTGCTATAATGTACAAAGCACATGCTGATTTTCCTTGGAATTCCCTGCTACACTCCATTAGACATCATTTATTTGCAATGTGATCCCTAGTGCCTCTTCCTTTCCTAAACCCTGCTTGGGCCTTTGGGATTTCTGTCTCCATGTATGGTTAGAGTCTATGTTGCAGAATTTTGAGCATGATTTTGATTGCATGGGAGATTAGTGCTATAGTTCTATAGTTGCTGCAGTCTCTTGTGTCTCCTTTCTTGTGGATGGGGATGTATATTGATCACTTCCAATCTGCTGTCCATCATTTTGTTTTCCATATCTGTTGATATATGTTGGTTAGCACTAGTGTTGACTCTGTCAATGTGGATTGCAACAGTTCTATTGGAATATCTTCTTTTCCTGGAATCTTGTTTTTTGCCATTTCCTTTATTGCAGCTTCCACCTCAGTTTTTAGAATTTGGGGTTCCTCTTCATATGGCTCTTAATTCCATGTGTCTTTCATGCTGTCATCTCTTTTATATAACTCTTCTGTGTATTGCATTCATCATTTTTTTAAATTCCTTCCTGGTTTTGAATTATGTTATTTTTATTGTCGTAGAGCATTCCAGTCCTTGGTTTGAACTTTCCCTTGATTTCTCAAACCATGTGGAATAAGTCTCTTATTCTTCCCTTCTTGTTGTTGGCTTCTGTTTCTCTACATTTGTCATTGTAGTAATTTTCCTTATCTTTACACACTAGCCGTTGTACTGTTGCATTCATGATTCTTAGTTTATTCCTATATCTTTTTGTTTTGTTTCTCTTCTTTTGTTTATAGCATTTTATTTGTCATCCATGGTTTCTTCATTTTCCTTTTGTCTGATGGAAGTGTTTTTATGCATTCTTCTTTTATTATGTCCCTGGCTCCAGACCAAAGCTCTTTCGGTTTACGATCTATTATTCTTAGTACTGCCAATCTATTCCTTATATTGTAAATTAATTCTGTGGAAATGTTGTTTAAATCATATTTTGGTATGATGACTCCTCTTGTTATCCTCTTGAGTTTTACTTTTATTTTTGAAATGAGTAGTTCGTGATCTGTACCACACCTGGTCTAGTGTTAGCCACCAATATGGAGCTTTGCCATCTTTTACTTTCAGTTATGCAATCTATTTAGTTTTTGTGTTGGCCATCTGGTGATGTCCATGTGTATAACCTTTTCTCTGATTGTACGAAAATGTGTGCAATATGTGTGCAATGACTAGGTTGTTGGCTTCACAAAAATCTATCAGACGCTCACCTCCTTCATTCCTTTCACCTAGTCCAAATCTGCCTACTGTTTTTGATTCTTCTTTACTTCAAACTTTGCATTCCAATCTCCAATGATCATCATGACATCCTGTGTTGGTGTACTGTCAATATCTTTCTGTACTCCTTTGTAAAATCTATCAATTTCTTAAGGATTCACTTCTCCCTTTTCCAAACATCACAGTTAAACTAATTGTAAAAGTCGGGTTTAATTCATCCAAATCTGAAAATCATGGTTATTACTTTTGGATCAAATCAGTATACCAAGCCAGTATCAAATCATGGTGCAATATCTTGGCTTATTCCAAAACTGGTAACCATACTTTCCCATTTCACGTATATAATCCTTCACCATTTAAGGTGAAATAGAACACTATAATTACATATGTTCATATCCATACTTGATAAAGACTAAATAATGGGATCCTTTGTGCAATCAAACAGTTCATGAATAAGCCAAGATATGTCCCATCATGCAAACTCAGCTTTTGTAATTGGGGTCCTCTTGCCTTCCTTTTACAGAACAAAAAAACTGGAAAGCACATATTCACAGTAGAAGAGATAAAGAAGAGATAAAGGAAATTAAGTCCCACATGCTGTTCATGGTCAACAAACTTTATTATCTTAAAAGCCCAATATGTTTTGGCCTTGTCACAAATGGGCCTTCTTCAGGGGCTATTACCATCAACAGCATGTGTGCCTTCCTTTTATATACAGCTCTATATAGTGTATCTCTTCTGCTGTCTAAAGTTTTCTGTACCAAAATGATCTTTCCTTTCTTTTATATATCCTCAGGTACTGCAAGATCACCAAAAG